TAATTTCTGAATCGGACGTTTTATTGTGCCGTTCTGAGTTTTTACCGATACTACTCTCACCAGATTATCTTTTCCAGGATGAACGTCAATTATCTTTCCAAGAGGCCATCTTCCTGGATATGTTTCCTCATTCTTCACTATTACCACTTGGCCTTCCTTAACATTTGCTTGAACCCCTTTCCATTTGTACCTCTGCTGAAGATTCGTTAAATATTCTTCCTTCCATCGTTTCCAAAAATGTTTCTTCATTGCTTGAATTATCTTCCAACGATTTAATGAAGATATGTTCATATCATCTACTGCTTCTGGATAGTCAATGATAGCATGCCCAATTAAAAAATGACCTGGAGTTAATATATCATTGTCGTCAACATTTGCACAAAGCGGTCGTGAATTAAGTATGCCCTCAATTTGAGTTAGAAGTGTGCTTAACTCCTCATAAGTAAGTTTATTTTCGCCAACAACTCTTTTCAAGTGGTGTTTTATTGACTTCACGGCCGACTCCCATAAACCTCCAAAATGAGGACTTGCCGGTGGAATGAAATGCCATTTTATACCTTCTGCTTCCAATGCACAAACTGCACTCACATTGCTTTTAATAGCCTGTTGTAAATCCTTATCTAATTTTTTGGATGCTCCAACGAAGTTAGTACCGTTGTCTGAGTATATATGTGAACATTTGCCTCTGCGTGCAAACAATCGCTTCAGCGCCGCCAGAAATGAGTCTGATGTCATGTCACTTACCAACTCTAAATGCAAAGCTTTAGTTGCCATACATACAAATACCGCTACGTACCCTTTAAAAGTTTTTTGGCCTCGCCCTTTAGAACATTTTATTAGCAATGGTCCAGCGTAATCTACTCCACAATGAGCGAACGGAGCAGACACATTGACCCTATATTCTGGTAAATCACCCATAAGCTGTTTCTGCTTTAATGCTTTATAACGGGTGCACCTTACACATTCACGTATACATTTCTTAATCAAGTTTTTAAGTCCAAATATCCAATATCTTCTTTTTATAACATTTTCCATCAATCGATGTCCACCATGTAATGTTTCTCGGTGTGCTTCATTTATTATCAAATTCGCCAAATGACCTTTTGCTATAATTATTGGATGCTTTCTATCAAAACCAATTTTTGCATTGATTAATCGACCTCCAACTCTCAAAACTTGGTTTTTGTCTAAAAACGGATTCAAATTTGCCATTTTGCTTCGATGATCTATTTCACAGCTATTTTTCAATCTGCTTATATCCGTAAAAAATTGTGTTGTCTGATGACTTCTAAAAATAGCTGCATCTGCTCTTCTAAACTCCTCTACAGTTAGATATTCTGGAGACTTAGCCTTCCTCAGTCTGTCTATGAAACGAAAAATATATACTACCACTCTACTTAATTTTCTAAAAGATGAATATTTCTCGATGAGCTGATTAAATAAGTCTTCCTCTCTTAATTTACTGATATTTATTATTTTAGCTGCCATTTGTTTTTTTGGCCATGTCCTTCTATCATCGTTTAACCAGTTTGGACCTCTCCACCATAACGATTGGTTCTCTAACTTTTCCGGCTGAATTCCTCTGGATGCTAGGTCTGCTGGATTTTCCTTTGATCGCACATAAAACCAATTGGCGCTTGGAATTAACGAGCTTATTTCATTTACTCTTGACCTAATAAATTTATTTTTGCTTGAATTGCTTTTTATCCAGCATAATGTAATCGTGGAATCACTCCATGCATACATTTTTATTTTTCTGTTAATTATGTTATGAATTTTATTTAATAATTTTGCCAATAGATGCGCTGCACACAGCTCAAGCTTCGGCAATGTTTTTCTATTTTTTATAGGATTTACCTTACTTTTTGCTGCTATTATGGACACCTTTGCGTGCGTTTTTATGTACACTATTGCTGCGTAGGCCTTTTCCGATGCGTCAGCGAACCCTACCAGGCATATTTCATCATTTCCGGTAACTCCTACCCATCTCTCAATTCTGATTGTTTGTATTGCGTCTAAGTTCTGCACAATGTTTTTCCATTCTTTCATCATTTCTTCATTTAATTTCATATCCTAATCTAAATTACTTATCCAGAGCTTCTGCACAAATAACTTAACCAATACTGTAACTGGAGCCAATAGTCCTAATGGATCAAATATTTTACCTAGATACGATAATGCCATTCTTTTTGTTATATAGACGTCTCTACTTTCTGCTATCTTAAACATGAATATATCATTGTTAGGATTCCATTGCAAGCCAAGCGTTTTTATACTTTCTTCTTTATCTATATCAATGACCTCATTGTCTTTTGATTTTTCCACCGTTTCTATTATATCCATGCTGTTTGAGCACCATTTTCTCAAATGAAATCCATACTTCTCCAAATGCGCCGATATCCTTAGCCGAACACTTTTGCACTCTTCTTTTGTATCACCGCCAGTTAGAAGATCGTCCATATAAAAATCGTCTTTAATTATTTTCGATATCTGATTATCCTGACATTCATTTGCTATTTCAAATAAAGTTCTTATAGCTAAAAATGAAGCAGGGGCAATACCGTAAGTTACAGTTGTTAACTTGTATTCTTCAATTGGCTGATTAATCTCGCTTCTCCACAAAATATGTTGGTATTTCTGATCATTTTTACTCACCCATATTTGTCTATACATTTTTTCTATGTCAGCAACTATGGCAAATTTTTTCAGTCGAAACTTCAACAATATATCAAAGATATCCCTTTGCAACCTTGGGCCAACATATAATACATCATTTAAACTATTTTTATTCGTGGTCTTTGCCGAAGCATCAAAAACTACTCTCACCTTAGTAGTGATACTATTCGCTCTTACTACTGCTTGGTGAGGTAGATAATATTTTCCCTGTCTTTTTGAACTTACTTTTTTCATATGCCCATCAGCTAGATACTCTTTCATGAATTCGACATATTCTCTCTTTAATGATGGGTTTGCCTGTAATTTTCTTTCCAAATTTATGAATCGTGCCATCGCCATTTTGTATGAGTCGCCAAGTTGGTGTTCTTCTTTGAAAGGTAACTCAACTACAAATCGTCCATCTTCATTTTTGGTAGTTGTCGCAGCATAATTTTTCATACAATATCCGTCTTCTGATGAATCTTCATCCTCTGGAATTTCTTCTATTTCCCAAAACTTTTCTATGTTGACGACGTTGGAAGAGATGAATCCTTTAATGCTTCTTTTTGCTTGTAAAATACCTGATAATATCCAGCCGAACTTTGTTGATTGCGCCAATATTTTATCTTTTTTAAGTAGACCGCCTTCAAGAATTTCTCCGTAAAGATCGCTTCCTATGATTATGTCAATTCTATCGGATTTATTAAAATTTGGGTCCGCCAAGGTCATATTTTCCCACTTATCTATATTATAGCTAAAGGTTTTATCCGGTTGACAAGATACCAATGATGGTAAAATTAATGCTTCTGCATTTATTTTATATTTACTGGTGAATCGTGGGTGAATTTGAAGATTTATTTTTGCCTTTGCAACGCCAACCGGTGTTCCTCCAAGCCCTTGCACCTCCATTTTTACTTTTTTCCTTGGTAAATTTAATATTTGTGCCGCTTCTTCTGATACAGCTGTAGTTTGCGACCCTTGGTCAATTAGTGCCCTTAACATAATCATCTCACCTTGAACACTTTTTACGCGCACTTGCGCCGTTGCAAGTAACACATTTTCTGCTGTGCCCGTATTCATTGTTAATGTTGATGTGTTATTATTTTGCCCTGAATTAATGTGCAAAAGAGTATTATGCCACTTCCCACAATCTTGACATTTTGTCTTACTATTGCATCTTTTTGTAGTTTTATGCGATAAACAGACGCGACAAATTTTAGCGTCTTTTACCCATGTATTTTTGTCCTTGACTTGTAGCTTTAGAAACTCATAACACTTTAATGCCATATGTCCTTTTTTGTTGCAGTAAAAGCACTGGTAATCATTTGCTACTATAGTTGTCGCTGTTGTTTTTTGAAAAGACTTTACATTATTAGTTTGTTTCTTAGATTTAATCGCCTCTGCTGCTTGGTATTGCTGCTCCAGAAACTGTAATACATCGTCCAATTTTTGAATCTCCTTTGTCCTTTTTATATTTTGCTCATATAGCCGTAATCCTTCCTTATCCAACTTCCTGATTATAATCCTTGCTATTATTGGATCTGCTTCATTCGTTTTTATACCCATTGCCTTCAGCCCCTGGATACATTCTATCGATGTGTCAAGCAACTTTTTCAAACTTGACGCTGAATCATTATATACAGATGGTTGATCGAGCAATTTATCGACCAATATTGTAAACAACATTCTTTCATTTTCGTACCTTTGCGACAAAATCTCCCAAGCTACAGCATAATTCAATTCCGACACCGGTAGATGTTGTATCAGCTTGCTTGCTTCTCCTTTTACTAATGTTTTGAGTCGATACATTTTCTCAACATTCGAAATTTTTCCATCCTCATGGATAAGCCTTTTATATAGATCATGAAAAGACGACCATTCTTCAATATTACCGTTGAAATTTGGGATTCTAATGCAGTCAAGCTTAACGTTGTTCCCCTCACGTAATTTTTCCATTTTATTGGCTAATTCATCTAACGCCTTATCGTATTGGTCTTCAATCTCATCATAATCATTCATAATGTCTACTTCATTGTACGACATTTCAATAACCAGCTTCTTATAGATACTTCTAATGTCTTCGAACTTTCTTTTCCAGATTCTATTAAGTTGTTCCAAACGCGTGACAGTATCATAATGGTCAAGATTTTCTAACATCTGTCTTAACCTTGCGATGTTATTGTTATATTGCTCTACTAGATTGTTGATTTTATTTTTCTCAATTTGACTTTCCGTTATTTTCTCGTCTACACTTTTGCTTTCAACAGATTCTGCATTTCTATCTTTGCTTTCAACTATTTCTTCGAGCATTGTTTTCACCTGAATCACTTTTTGATGCACTGTAGTGTAAAAGTCCTCTTTAAAATATTTGTCTTCCTTATTCTCCGTTAAGAGTATTTTCTCGTGATTATCTTTAAATTGATTCCATAATCCTTGTAGTTTATCTAAACGTTCTTTTATTGTATTCGCACGCAACTCACGTTTGCTGCTATTCTTCTCGATATTCTTAACATCGTCATATATTGCTCTTTGCTGTTTTAGCAGAGCTAATAATTTTGATGGATCCATTTTCTTTTTACCGTACCGATATTTAAATCTCGATCAATGCTTTTTGCACTATATTTAAATTTTTGGCACCGATGTTTAAGCCTTGGTCCACGCTTGTATCGCACTGTACTATATATTTAGTTTATGGCACCGATGTTTAAGCCTCGGTCCACGCTTGTATCGCACTGTACTCAATTTTACTTTATGTCTCGAAGGACCAAAATGTACATTTAATAAATTAAAGTACACACACTTTGAGTAATTTTTAGCTACTAATTTTATTTAAAATAATGTTGTGTTTTTATACAAAAATATTTTAAGACTAATTTCTACATCAAGGTTAAATTATTATGATTTTAGTGGACTGTATTACATTTGTCAAAAAAGGTTAAAAAAGGTTAAAAAAGGACGGAAGTCCCAACACTTGGGATTTTCCTCCTATTGTTTTTATGAATATATTTTAGTTTAATAATTTAAATACGGTTGCTAAAAAATGTTACTATTTATCTATATTTTTCCTTAGTACATAATTCTAAGAATTTAGGTGATAATATAAACTATAATAATTAAATTTATGTTATAAATTCATGTTCATGATTGAACACTCACACTCATATCCTTTCAGAAATTATTAGGAATTCATTTCTAAAGAATTTGATGTACAAAAAACAACCACAAAATAATTTGAAGAAGACGCCGAGCAAAAAGTGTATTTGTCAAATGAATTGCAATTCAAATAAAGTATCTGCAATTTGTAAAATTTGTGTACTTCACACAATCGACAACGAGTATTTGTTCTGCTTGCATGATTTTTGTTCTGCAAATAAATGACACAGAAATATTCGACAAATTTTTAAAAGATTAAGGGTTTAAGAACTATTGAAATCACTGAAATAAATTTATATTGCTTGTTTGCAATTTACTCAAATAGTGTCTATAAGTAAAATTTATACTGTGCCGATATTATTATATACTTCACACTTTATGGATGAAAATACATAAAGGACAGA